GTTTTATGGTTATGGAAACTATTGCCTACTAGTTACAAGCCTACAGTTACAAGTTTACTATTGAAAGTCTATTGGTTATCAACCTGCTAGTTACAAGTCTATTGAGTTTATCCGCCTATAAGGTTATGAGCCCATGTAAAGTTACAAACCTACCGAATTTATTAGCCTACAAGGTTATAAGCCTACTCGATAGACATGCAACTAGGTGGGTTTTGAAGACTCTGAATTGCAGCATAATTGTTGTTGTTGATGATTTATTGAATGATATTCTATGTCCTCCTTTTCTGTCTAGTATCCTTCTTTAGATAGAGAAATTAAAGGTAATTGTTTTAAATAGATAAATTAAAGGTAATTTTTATTTCAATCTATATCATTCTTTGTTTTAAGGGTATTGTAACATATAGATTCCTTTGTCCCTTTTAATTACCTATCTTGATTCATTCTTTATTTTAAAGATCTTATAGTATATAGAGTCCTGTTTTGCTTTCTAATTTCCCACATTGATTGATGCTCACTATACCTAGATTAATCACGCCCAAAACACAAGCCTGCTACCACTTTTGATCCACTCATATCTAAAACAACTCAATATTTACACAAGTTTTGGACGTTTACTGATCTGCAATTAGGTTTGGTACTTCATTCTTCTTGTCCCAGAATTATCCCTTCTTAGTGAATTTTTGTGCTTAACACATTAAGAGAAGGAATCTTTCCATTCAAGAAAAAAATTCACCTCGTGCCATGATTTTTTTTATTAATTGTGAATGTTCGCATTAGCTTATTTATAGCTGGACTAATCTTCTAAGACTTTGAAGTTCCCGTCCATGATCTTTGTTCGAAGAGTTCAATGCATTTTAGAAAAAATTCCTGCACTAGACCTTTCCAGTTCAATCCATCTATTTTCAAAGGCTATGCTCTCATTTGTTATGGTGATAATCTTTTTATATGCCTCTTAAGTTATTCTTCCTTGATCAATGGTAGAGATACAACTGGAAATTGAAGCTTCAGAATGCAAACCTTATGTGGAACTAGTTTATTATCCGTAGTTTATATGCTAATGATTATTTTCTAAGTATTTATATATGTTACTAGTTTGTTATTTCCTAATAATATTATATATTTCCAAGTATTTTTATTAATATATCAATGTTTTTATATACAAAGTTGTGTTTGGTTTTAACTTAAAAGGGTAAATGTTCCTCTTGTCATTTTTGGCGTCCTTCAATATATTTGTGTAATTTTAAAAGAGGAGGGCAAGGCTTCCCGAATTGATGTTCAACCCACAAAAACAAGGTGCACTGTTACCATCCTACGAACGAGCTTGACATTAGATTGGTTGTCTTCTCTATGTTTTGGGCTATTTTTAAAGCTTAAGAAAAGTTTTGTCAAACTTGTAATTGAACACAGATAAAAAATAAAATGTTTGGGAGTTGGTAGTATGTTTTTTCAACGGTAAGAGAATTTTTTTAAAATATATATATTTAAATTATATTTTTTAAAAAAATTATTGACATAGCAGCATATTAAATTAACTCGGGTTAAACCGGATTCACCCATTAAATAAGAAACTTAGGTTATAGATTCCACTTTATTTAATAAAATTTTTTAATTATTTTTTATTTAATTATATGATAACAAAAATAAATACGCATAAAATCAAGTAATAACCTAATACTAAATTATTTATTTTATTTTGCGATAACCTTATAAAAAAAAGTTAAAAAGTTATAAAATTTAATTTTTATTTTTTAATTAACTAAATATTAAAAAATAAAATTAAAAAAATAAATTTAATAAAAAAACTAAACAAAAATTTAAAGTTAAAGAAAAAAATTAAAGAAAAAAATCAATAAAAATAAAGAAAAACTCTATTTAACAATGAAATTAAAAATATATATATTTTAAACATTTTAACAAACCTTCACAAAGTTAACCATGACAAACCATTTACCCTAATCTTAAATCAATTGCATGAAAAGGTATTAAATTAAAAAATAATAACAAAAAAAATATTAAAAAAATGCTAGTCTAAAAGCGGAGTAGGGTGGGTTAGTGTGTTTGAGCCTTAAATAAAAAGGTCTAGATGGATGGGCCTAGGGTAGATAGGCCTGCATGCTTATGCCACTTTAATTTCTTTTTGGTTTATCTTATTTTTTATATAGAAAAAAGCAAGCTACAGGTTGCCTATAGTAATATATAACCTATAATTGTCTGTTCAAAATTCAACCATTAGAGAAATAACTGAAAACTAGAAGTGTTTTTAAATCTAAAAATCAATTTTCAATTTATTTTTCTTTTAAAGATACCTAATAAATCCTTTAGAATTGCAAAAAAAAAAAAAAAAAAACAAATTTATCAACTGAAAAAAAGACATAAAAACACAAAACTAATCTAATGTATAACTATTTCTCCTGATCTATTTTCTTAACTCATATGAAAATTTAAAAACATTTCAATAACACTTTTTTCATAAAAAAACATCTTAAATACTAAATTTATCTATTTTTTTTGGTCAAAACTAAATAAATTAATTTTATTTTTTTTATCAACTCTCTCTCATCTCAGAGTGGGTGAACCAAGTCAAATCATTAACTATCTAATCTTAAATCAATCAAATTTTAAAGAATTAAATTAAATAAATTAATTAAATAACCAGAAAAAAAAAACCATAAAGAATTTTTTTTTTCACAACCCTTTCGCTTTCGAATTTTGAGGATGAAAGTTCCTTCACTAAAGAATGTAAATATTTTGCATAAACTCTATTTCAGGTCACGATATTCTGCATTAATTGCTCTGAAAGAATTGCTTGCAAATCGTGTAATCATATTCAACTATTTTTTTTTTTTTGTAATGCATCATTCATCGTTGAACAAATAACCAATAACATACACAAGAAAAGCTAGGCAGAATACAGCAGCTCCCATAACAACAACCATACGAACCCAGAGAGAGGAAATAAATGCTTTCTGCACAAATGCATCCCATGACCAGAACCACAAGATGGAGAAAATGGACCCAACAGCAGCACCGACCACAGCTTGGTTGATCGTATGAAGTCCTTGTGAGACACGTAACCATGTCTACAAAACGGGTGGTGAGATACAAACATGCGAATCATAGTCATTAAATCCGACAGAAATTTGTCCGGTCAAATAACCGGGTCATGAATTAAAATAGTTGACCTGGATAACCCGGAACAGGTCACCGAGGGGGGCTGAAGGACAATAGTGTTTAAACCCCTGGACCACAATAGTGTTTTGTTGATGAGGTTGAGCCCCTCAATTACGGGGGATGAAATAAAAGGCAGCGGCAGATTGGGAACGGAAGGGAAGAGGGGATGTGGTAGTTTGCGTGGCGGCGGCGGCGGCTTGTTTTGGGAAGTCAGATTTTTCTCTTTAAATCAAATCAGTGTCGCTTACTTGTGAAAAAAAAATAGTAGGGTGTCGCCGGTATAACCGGGTCAACCCGGCTATCACCTACATTTAACTAGATGGATTGCAATTCTAGTAATTTGCTTTGTAGAACCCGGTGTATAAAACCCGATTAAGGCCCTTAGCCGCCTAGGTGCCAACTCACCCGGCGGAGTCAGGTTTTTAGAATTAATTTTTATTAAGCTAAGGAGAAAAGTTAATTAAATTTTGAAAAAGAAATTGTACTAGATGGATTTTCATAAAGCATTTTTTTTTACAAAATAATATTTTTTTATATTAGTGACATGTTTTTTAATAAAAAAATTAAAGTCATTAAAATAAATATCCATAAAAATCTCAATCTTTTGAATTAAAAAGGAAAAATATATCTCTTTAATCAAAATTCTATTTTCTTGTTCATTTATTTCTTTTTTGATATAATGAAAGAGAATCCCTGTTTTTTTAAACGAAAACTTATAATTATCTAAAACACAAGATTTGATAAAAAAACAGAAAAAAACATAATTCAATAATTTTTACACAGTAAAAAAGACAAAATAAAAGAATATTTAATCGGAAAAAATCATGTAAGAATTTTAAATTTTAAAATAAAAATTAGATATTTTATTTTTAATTAATATTCACCAACATATTTTTATATAAATTTCCCATTCTAGATTTATATGTAATAATTCATAAAGTAATTGTTAATATCACTATAAAAAAAATATAATCTTTTTTTTTAAACTATGAAAGTTGAATAATATTTTAAATATAATTCTAATTGTTTTATTAAAAGTGAATTTTATTAAAAATAAAAAAGAAAAAAAATTAAAGGATAATATAAAAAGAAGCAATGATGGGCCTAGGAGTACTGGGCCGAGCTTTAGATCCTCTTCTATTTTAAATGCGAGAACAACATGCCATCAATCTAATGTTTTTATTTTTAAATCAAACAAATGACTTCTTGTTACCTATTTCAAGTTTCAGCCACCACCAGTAGCTGAAAAGTTAGGTTTTAGATTCTTGTATCTATAAAAAATATTTTTAATTTGTTTTTATTTGATAATATTTAAAAAAATATCATAAAAATTTAAATAAATTTATTTTTAACTTTCAAGCACTATAAAATTATTTTGAAAACAAAAATTAGACCAATTTAAAAATGCATCGGATGTACTTTTTCTAGCAAAATAAAATTGTTATTATCAAATTTTTTTTCATTGATAGAACTATGACAATTGAATATTTTCTCTCTCTCTCTCTCTCTTCAGATGACATTCTATCTTCTCCCTCAACACATAAGAACCAAAACACAAATAAAATAAAATTTAGAACTTTAATATAAAATTATTAAATAATAAGATAAAATATATAAAAATTTAAAAATTTAAAAAATAAATTATAGTATTTTCACCGTTAAAGAGACTTGCAAAAGTAAATTATAACACATAAATTGATGCATACATCAAATGCAAGATGGGAAATTGTGGTAATGGGCGATGATTTAAAATATTTTTATTTAAAAATATATTAAAATATTTTTTTATTTTTTAAAAAATTATTTTTTATAAATAGACTGATAAATAGCTAACAAGTCAAATAAAGAGGGACGTTACCTGACAGAATAGCGAACACCAAAGTGAAGAAGATGGATTGTCCATGTGAAGATGGCATCCCAGGGTCAGACCTCAATGTCGAATCGGGTCTCTCTTGGTTGAATGTTCTCTTAAGGATTACAGAGAGGATTGAATTCACAACTAACCCCAAAGCAGCCCACATGGCTTTTGCATCATGCCTCCCAAGAATGACAGCACAAAAAAAAGTAACTACAAGCCATTTGCTCTGTTCCAACAACAATAGTACGACTAAACCATGCGAGTTTATTTCATCTAAATGCCGAAATTGAAATTCTGAAAGAAGTAAATTGCAGAATGTGGAAGCACCAAAGCAAATTGAAGGGCAGTGGTGCTCAAATATATCAAAGATATGAGGCCAACATAAATCTGCTATAAAGCAGCTATAGAGGATTGCTAGTGCTAAATGCTATCCTGCAAACAAGATTTTAATGTCATAATTGCCAAAGGCATTCTCAATGCAAGTGCTTCACTAGGGAATTAGTTTTATCTCTCAATTGCAACTTCAATTCAGTCCACAATTTTAGTTGTTTTGGGCGTAAGTCTCACTTTCAAACAGAAAAAATAAAAGGAAAGAAAAAGGAAATGCAACTTGTGTTCACTTTCAGAAGTTTTAACCAATATAAAAAGAAATATAGATAGTAAGTGAAATTAAAAAACAGGCATATTGGTCTTTGATTGGAATAGCGACAAATGAAGTGCAGTAAAAAGCATTCAAATGGTTTGGACACTGGATCTAGACACTATTTATGTATTTGTATGACCGTAAATAGAGAGTAACCCAAATTATTGTGAGATTGAGTTTTAATTTATGTTTTGCTTTAATTTATTTGATTTTTTAATTAAAAATTTTTAATTAAGTATTATTTATTATGCTTGAATTAATTATTATTTGGTATTTTATTTAATAAGTTATAAACCTAATTATTTGTTCCAGTAAGAGTTTTAGTATTTGTGTCTTATTTTTCTAAAAATTAGCTAGTTATTGATGAATTGAATAAAAATTGCAATGTTGCAAACTTTTCTAACCCCCACGTTTCTCTTCTCCAGTTCTTTCTTCTTTTTCTTCGACTTGTTCATCTTGGCTTCTCCTTTTCTATCTTCTTTTCTTTCAAATCTCTTTAGTCCCGTATCAACTTTGGTATTAGAATATGAATTTTTATTTTATTGTTCTCATAATTAAACAATCCATGGGCTTATTCAAATCCTGAAATTCAAAATTCATTCGTAAACTCTAAATCATGTGGGAAACTTTCATCAATAATGATAAAGAATGTAACAATACAAAAAAATAATTCATCTTTCTATTTTATGTTCCAGATATGAAAAGCAAATACTCTTATGCAGCCACATCAATGCCACTTCATCACGCTACAATGTCATCACAATGCCATATCAATACCAAGCCAACCAGCATTGACATGTCAACGAACACATTTTTAACAACACCATGTCATCATATATCGCCACATCAATGCCACATTAGCATTCTTTATCACATCAGCAACAATAAATTTAGCATATTCTTACCAAACAATCTAGTCAATAATAGAGCTTATCTAAAATGGTGGAACAATATGATTTTATTTGATTAATTATTTATATTTAAAGGTTTAATACTGCATGCTTAAAATTTTTCTAGTATTTTTTATTCTTGATTAATCTCCACATTTAAAAAAAAACAGAATTAGCTTTGTTTTTATATTGTGATTTCACTTATAAGAATTGTAAATTATCTCAATTTCATTTTTAAGTTAGTTTTGCACGTATTTATGTTATAATCATCTAATTTTCAACCTTAAATCCATACTTACTATGGACCCAACTCTTAACAATACTCTTAGGACCATTTAAAAAGAGCTGTAAACTCAGATGACCAACATCTATAAGAAGTGAACCCAAGAAATATCATAAGAATAATCATTTTAAGTAAGTTCACCTTGAGCACTACCAGTATACCTATTATTTAGGTTACTCTAAACATGATAATCTTGATGAGCGAGTTATGAGCCCTAATAAAATAGAAGCCCCCACTTTTAATTGTCATCATGGCCTTTAGATATTTGATATGTGAATTCATGATATAGATTAATTCTTTGAATAACACAACTTGTCTGATAATAAGAGAGTTAGAATTGCTAAGATAATGCTTATTAGTAAAGCTCGACTTTATTAAGAAGATGTAAGGATTGTTTAGAGAGAAGATGTATGTTAAATAATATTTATGTAGCCTTATTTATTAAGGGTAAAATAGTATGTTAAATAATATTTATGTAGTCTTATTTATTAAGGGTAGAATAGTACTTTCAATTTAATCTATATATATTTTATTTATATTTAAGTTAAGATTAAGCTTTCATAATATACAGATTATTCAGAATTCTAGCCTCCTTTTTATGTTTGATCTTAATTATTTCAACATGGTATCAGAGCTTGTTTTATGGAATGAGGCTTAATTCCGAAAATAGTTTCGTAGATCTAACTTTTTTGGAGTGAGATTTTGTCTTCCACTTCTACAAAAAATTTGGTATTTCGTCAATTTCTGCAATTATTTTTGTATTTCATCTTCCCTTCAGCTTTTGCAATTTGGCATTTGCGTTCAGTTTCTACAAATTTGTTTTGTATTTTGGAGCAATCGTATAATTTTGAGAAGATATTTGTTTAGTTTCTACAATCTTTATTCAGTTTTTATAATTTGATATTTTGTTTTTCGCTACTTTTGCATTCTGGTTCTCTATGATTGTTGATTATAGCTTCTAAAAGAGATGATTTACTTTAATCTGTGAGTGTGAGGTTGGATTGGATGAACTATTTGAATTGGAGCTATGTAATGAGAAAGTTTCTTAAGGGTAAGAAGATGTGGGGGTATGTTAGTGGAACTTATATGATACCTAAGAATGTTGAGGAGATGGTGCTTTTTTGATAGATACATGGGAAGCAAATAATGCAAAAATCATTACTTGGATCAATAATTTTGTTGAGCATTCGATAGGCACATAGTTGGCAAAGTATGAGACAACAAAAGAGGTTTGGAATCATCTACAAAGGTTATTCACGCAATCAAATTTTACAAAATAGTATCAATTAGAGAATGACATATGAGATCTTCATCAGAAGAATATGAGTATTCAAGAGTTTTATTATGCTATGATAGATCTTTAGGATCAATTGGCTCTTACAAAATCTATAAAATTAAAAGCATGTGGTGCCTATTTTGAGCATAGAGAGCAGCAATGATTTGTACAGTTTTTAACAGCACTTTGCACTGACTTCGAAGGACTTAGAGGTTCAATTTTGCATCATTCTCCACTGCCTTCTGTTGACTCTATTATCAGTAAATTATTGGCTGAAGAAATACATCTTTAGTCTTATTTTGAAAAAGGAATTCTTTCTGCTTCAAATCCTTCTGTACTAGTTGTAGCTTCTAAGTCATTCTCTAATCATTAGAACAAGCCTTACATAAGGGTTGGCTTTGATGAGTGCAATTTCTATAAGTATAAAGGTCATTGGAAGACTTAGTGTCCTAAGTTGAGACAGTAAAATCAAGCTTAGAAGTTTGGTAGTCAGTCACAATCTAATGCTCAAAGACCACCTCAGGGTTATAAACCACCACACCATAATACTGCAGCAATAGCTTTTCCAAGCTCTATTACTGATTCCAATACTTTGGCTAAGCAATTTCAGAAGTTTCTCTCTTTACAGCCACAAGCAATGTCTACTTTTTATTCTATAGGTCAGTTGCCTCATAGTTCCTCAGGTATGTCACACTCTGAATGGGTCTTGGATTGTAGTGCTTCCCATCATATGTCTCTAGATTCCTCATCTTTTACCTATGTGTCCCCTTTATCCTCCATTCCTGTTATGAATGTTGATGACACTCCTATGCCCTTAGCAGGTGTTAGTTCTGTTGTCATATCTCACTTGTCTTGTCTCTTTCTAATGTTTATTTTATTCCAAAATTCAAATTGAATCTTGTGTCTGTTGGTCAAATATGTGGTTCTGGTGATTATCTAGTCATGTTTTCTAGTTCTTTTTGTTGTGTGTAAGATTTGTAGTCTCAAAAGCTGATTGGGACAGGCCGTAGAGAGAATGGACTATATATTTTAGATGAGTTAAAAATGTCAATTGCTATCGCTGCTGCTGCTGCTACTACTGTTGATTTGTCTTCCTTTTGTTTAAGTCTTTCATCTTCTAATTTTTATTTATGGCATTCTCATCTAGGTCATATTTTGTCTTCTCGTTTGAGATTTTTGGCATCCATAGAATTTTAGGAAATTAAAAAACTTGTGACATTTTCGATTGTAGTGAATGTAAACTAGCAAAATTTTCTGTTTTACCTTTTAATCGAAGTATTTCTGTTTCTTCATCATCATTTGATTTGATTCTTTCTGATGTATGGGGACCTTCTCCTATTGCCATAAGAGAAGGGTCTCGATATTATATCTCTTTTATTGATGAATATACTCGTTATTTTTAGGTTTATTTAATGAAACATTATTTAGAATTCTTTGAAATATATGTAGCTTTTCGAGCTGTTATCAAAACTCAATATTTTACTATGATCAAATGCTTTAGGTGTGATTTGGATGGGGGAATACACCTCTAATAAATTTTGTCAATTGCTTGCCTTAGATGGAACCATCTACCAAACTTCATGTACAGATACTCATAAGCAAAATGGTGTTGCTGAAAGAAAACATAGGCACATTGTTGAAACTGCTTATTCTCTCTTGTTGTCTACTTTTATTCCTAGTGAGTTTTGGGGAGAAACTGTTCTTACTGTGGTAAGTTTGATTAATACAATTCCATCTTCTTATAGTTCAGGTCTGTCTCCTTTTGAAAAGTTATATGGGTATGTCCTTGATTATTCCTCATTTAGAGCCTTTGGTTATACTTGTTTTATTTTTTTTCCTTATATAGAACGTAGTAAGTTATCATCTTAATCCGCTATTTGTGTATTTTTGGGTTATGGTGAAGGTAAAAAGGGGTATTATTGTTTGATTCAATAACTCAAAAACTTTATGTGTCTCGTCATGTTGTTTTTCTTGAGCATATACCTTTCTTTTCAATTCATATAGATCCCTTTTCTGAGGATTTTAGTAATGATACCTCTCTCCATGTTCGATCAATTTATACTCATAACTCTGCAGGTACTGGTACTTTACTCTCTGGTATACCTGAAGCTCCATTCTCATCTATAGCTCCTCAAGCTTTATTTGAGATTGTAGATCCACCTCGACGTTAGTCCATCTGCATTCGTAAGTCTACAAAACTACCAGATTTTGCTTATTCTTGTTATTTTTAATCATTTACTTCCTTTTTAGCTTCTATTCATTGTCTCTATGAGCCATCTTCCTAACTAGAGGCAATTCTTGATCCGCTTTGGCAGCAAGCTATGGATGAGGAGCTTTCTGCTTTACATAAGACAAATACTTGGGATCTGGGATTCATTGTCTCTATGAGCCATCTTCCTATCTAGAGGCAATTCTTGATCCGCTTTGGCAGCAAGCTATGGATGAGGAGCTTTCTGCTTTACATAAGACAAATACTTGGGATCTGGGTCCTCTACCTCCTAGTAAGAGTGTTGTTGGTTGTTGTTGGGTGTATAAGGTCAAGACTAATTCTGATAGGTTTATTGAGTGATACAAAGCTCGGCTGGTTGCAAAAGAATACTCTCAACAATATGGTATAGACTATGAGGAGACATTTGCCCTAGTTGTAAAAAATGACTATTATTGTACTCTTATTGCCATAGCTTTGATTCGTCAATAGTCTACTTAGCTTAATGTTAAAAATGCCTTCTTGAATGGAGATCTTCAAGAAGAAGTTTATATGGCACCCCCTCCTGGTATTTCACATGACTCTGGATATGTTTCTAAGCTTAAAAACGCATTATATGGTCTCAAACAAGCACCCTGTGCTTGGTTTGAGAAATTCTCTATTGTGATCTCATCTCTTGGCTTTGTTTCTAGTAATCATGATTTTGCTCTTTTTATTAAGTGCACTGATGCAGGTCATATCATTTTGTCTTTATATATTGATGACATGATTATTACTGGTGATGACATATTCAGTTTTGAAGAT